GTAAAAGTTAAACCGAGGTAGCAATATTCAGAGGTTATTTTTAATGGGTTAGTGCCTATTTAAATTTGTTGGTTTTGAGGAGATGGCCAGCCTTATTCAAGATCATGGTCTGTGTTTTAGCAATATTGATTATTACTTTCCCTTTGGCCCAGTAGTTGTGAAGTTGATTTAGGGAGTGCTGTAGTCCTTGGGCACTTTCTGATATGAGGACCAGGTCATCTGTATACATAAGGCAGCTTACTGGTTTATTATATAGATAGGAGGGATAATTTTCTGTGTTAACTTCAAAAATATCAGGTAGGTCACCTGATATGAGGTTGAAAAGGGTGGGACTCAATACGCAGCCTGGTTTCACACCTACAGTGGAGTTAATAGGTTTAGTTAGTTTGTTGTTGCAATGGATAGCGAATTGGGTAAAGCTGTGCATGCTATGAATGATATTTATGAATGTGGAACTAAAATTGGAAAGGATGAGTTTGTGGAGTAGAGAGTTTCTCCAAACAGTGTCAAATGCCTAAGAGAAGCTCAATTCCTCAATTGAAGCATATGTGGTCTGAGTAAAGGACACAGGCTTGAAAGTCCTGATGCTTCTTCACGCTCTCTGACTCGGGGCTCTTCTTCATTGTCCGATTAACTGATTTCTGATGGTTTTAAAAGTGATTCAGTTTGCCTGTCCCTGGTTCAGGTATTGCCTCTTGCAATTTCTTCTTCTGGCTTATGAAGACTTCCTTGCAGAGGCAGACTGGGGAAAAAACATTAGAGCTATGAAAATAGATAATGGAGAGTTTTGGCAAGGCCTTCTGTATGACGTGTAACGTATAGTTCAATACGTAATACGTTTTACGTACGCGAGAAAGCTAGTAGTGGTTTTGGCAGGTCTCACTCCGTATGCGTTTTTTTTCCACCAGGAGCCGCTAGTTCAAAGATTCAGCTACTTCTGTCCAGCGAGCTGGGGTTTTAAATGGGTTGTAGAAGTTTACCTCCTTCAGCAACATCTCGTCTATGTCATCAGTAAAAATTATGGATTTTTTCTTTGCTAACATACTGACTTTCCTGACTTTATTAGCTAGGCTATTATATTATGATTATCTGCAATTCAAATAAATAAAATGATAAGGGTATAGGCCTATATATATGGATTACACGAACATGGGGCTGCTTGTGGATTCTTTTTAGATAGATGAATAATTAAGATGTTGAATGGAATGTGTTATTTACGTCAATTGATGCTGCAGATCCTGTTGTTTATGAAAAAAAAATCAACTTAAATTGAATTTGATACTACTACGGACGACTGATTGACTGGCTGTTTTTCCAGCTGTTTTCACAGAGTATTTCTACCGACAGCGTCTAAAAGTGACTCAGTGGAATCTTAACACCCTATATATTCCTCTGCAGTATGTTAAACTTGAAAGAAATAAGCGTAAATCTATTAAATTCGATACGTTTCTTACCTACCTGTAATCACCGATTCATACGTAGTGCCGTATGACTTATGACTTGTCCTTGAGAAAAACTACGCACAAAGTGATGACGTCGCATGTTATACATCGTACGGAAGGCCTTGCCAAAACTCTCTATTATTTTCTATAGCTGAACATGAAAAATAAAGTTAAATTATCTTAATATAACATCATATTTAATTTATTTTAAACATTAAAGCCATGTAAGGTGGGATTTTGTTTCAGTGAAAGACGTTCATGTATTAATTACCATCCAGTTGTCTATGGCACTGTCAGGTTGAAATTCTGATATGTCAGGGGACTGAAGTTTTACCATCAAGTCATTCAGCACTGAAGGGCTTAGCCTAGATTTCCTGCATGTCTTCAGGAGCTTTAGCTGTGACAATGTTGTTTCACAGGAAACATTGGTTGCAGGTATCATCAGCATCAGTTCCCAGGAACATGATAAAGTTGATACCAACGCTGTCTTCAAATATGGTTGACCAGGAAAGATCCTGCCTGTTGTATCTGAATCAAAGAGCAATCGATAGACATATTATGAGTGATATTTGGAAAAACAACTAATTTATACATTACAATAATATAACTTTCAGGATTCTCGTCAATTTACCCTATAGGTCTAAAGGAAAATATAAGTATTATTACTGATGCATCTCTGAAGGTCTACTTTACAGTTGTCAAACATAATCCAAGCTATAGGGTGTTAGTCCTTGCAGCATCTTGATTTACTGTACGTACTTGTAGTATGTCTTTTCCAGTCTTCTATTTCTTTTTGTCCATGCATTTAAAAAATTAAAAAATCATGTTACTTGATACATGACATGTATTTTAATGTCTCCCTGTATTTTTATCTTCCTTTTCAATTTTTAGAAATGAGCAATTACCCTCGGTGTATGATCATACATTACATATTTTATTCTGCAAGCACATACCTACACATACACAACTTCTTTTTTTTTCTTTTATTGACACAATACATCACGAATACATGACAATACAAAAAAAACAAACAGACACTCGCTCACACACTCACACATAAGAGATGTTATGCTATATAACACTTTTTAGTTAATTACATCATACGCTAAATATTCAAATTGAAAATAACTTAATTATATTTGAATTGTACTGACAGATTGACTTATCTGTTTTCACCAGATATCTAAGCGATGAAATCAAACCTCCTAATGTTGGTTTACCCTGTGAACATCTTCTTAAATAAATATAAAATTTAAATTGCAACATAATGAGATTAATAATTGGAGAGAGGCCCGTAGAGCCGACTAAGCAATTCCTTTTTGAGACAGGTAGAGTAACTTGAGTATTAGATAATATTTATTCTACCAAGTCGGTCAATAATTTTTGGGTAACCGCACAATTCCAGAATAAATGCTCTGTTATTTCTTCAGCTCCTTTGCAAAGGGAACATATACTGTTGTCGACCATTTTATATTTGAAAAGCAGTGAATTTGTGGTAAGGATATTATGATTAATTCGAAATTGGAACCAGTGAAGCTTTGAATCTTTTGTTATTGTGAAAGGAAGTTCAAAAATCTTCGGGCATTCATTTTCTTCCAAATTTAACAACTCCTTCCATTTATTCATACCTTTTGACATCTCAAGAACACCTACTTTACTTAAATTTTTATAATAAATCTTTGAGCCTTTTGAACAACCTGAGAGCAACAATATATAATCAGGAATTAAAGGAGTGGCCATTTTACTTAATTTTTCAGGAATACCACCAAGCCATTCTTTTATGGCTGAGATAATTCCATGGTATTCGACAAAATTTGTGTCAATATCGTGGATATCCCTGAACGCAGTGAAGTCATAGAACTCCCCAGAGTCCAGGAGTAGATCATTAACAAATCTAATGTTTTTGTCATACCACGATGTATAGAAGACAGGTTTATTTCCAATAAGTATATTTTCATTTAGAAAGAGTGGAATATTACCAAAATCCTTGATTTTATTGGCCATTATTGTACCACAGAGTTCTTTCCAGGCTGCTAAGGCATCAATCCAGAATCTATTTTTTATGTTTTTCAAGATTTTTGAGATATATTCTGTACCACATGTGATTAGTTTTTCAGTGTCTACATATTTGGATATAATATTTTTCCATTCTTTATTTTCGAACATAAAGTCTTCTTACCCATGAAATTTTTAACGATTTTATAAAATGCCTCACGCTTACCATCCTCAAGCCCCCAGCTTTATAATCTCTTATAATGATATTTCTTTTAATTTTATCAGGTTTATTATTCCAGAGAAAAGAAAAAAGACACTTTTCTAATTCTTTAATCTGTTTTTCCTCTGGGTTTGGGAGCGATATAAATATATGGTTCAATACCGGCAAGGCTAATGTTTTTATAACTGTTATTTTACCAATTGGTGTTATATTTCTTACTCTCCACTGATTAAATATTTTTTTCATGGAAGTTAACTTGGTCTCCATATTTTGCTTCGTTACCTTACCTAAATCTACATCAAATTCTATCCCTAGCATTTTAAAACTAGTTTTTCCCCAATCTAATCTATATTTTGGGCAGAGGATATCATTAGAGTATTGCTTTGACCCAATCCATATAACTTCAGTTTTAGAGAGATTAATATGCAGACCGGAGATCTTCGAAAATTTATCCAAGACAAACACACATTCATTCAGTGACTGTTCACTCCCGTCAAGTATAAGAGTAGTGTCATCTGCATATAATGAAATTTTTAATTCTTTTGCACCTATATTAATACCCTTTATATTGTCATTGTTTCGTATAAACGCCGCCAATATTTCGGCGCATAGAATAAAGAGATAGGGTGAGAGGGGATCCCCCTGACGGCATCCTCGATTAGATTTAAAGAATTCCGACATATTCCCCCCTTGATTTACTGTAGCAGAGATGTCATTGTAGAACAATGATACCCATCTCCTGACTGAATCACCAAAGTTAAAAAAGGTCAGAACCTTTTGAATGAATGACCAAGACAAGGAATTGAATGCCTTTTCAAAGTCAATTAATAACAGTAACCCAGGAATATTTTCTTCTTCAGTATACTGCATTGTATCGTATATAAGTCGCGTGTTCTCTCCGATATATCTACCAGCCATGAATCCGGTTTGTTCCGGATATATTCATTTATCTAACACTAGTTTTACCCTAGCAGCTATCGAACCCGAGGCGATCTTGTATATAGTATTGAGAAGTGATATGGGGCGCCAGTTTTTAAGAAAGTGGCGTGGTTTATCTCCCTTTGGGAGGCAAGTGATTATACCTTGTTTTTGCGTCACTGATAACTGGCCAGTTTCGTAAGCAAAATTAATTGACCTGACAACAAAAGAGCTTAGTTGTCTCCAAAATACCTTATAGAATTCAACTGAAAACCCGTCAGTTCCCGGGGATTTGTTCGATTTCATTTTAGATAATGTTTGTGCTGCTTCTGCCTCCGTAATGGGCCCTTCCAATTCTGCAGCTTCCAGATTGCTGAGTTTATAAACATCGTTAAGGGTTACCTCATTATCTAGATTAACATCTTCTCTGTGATGCTCCCGGCATGCATACAGATTTTTATAAAATTTTTTGGTATTTTCTAGTATCTTCCCCTGGTTAACAATAATTGTGCCATCGTCTAGCTGAATTCTTGGAATCAGTTTATTGGTAAAATTTCTCGATTCTAGACCACAAAAATATTTAGTCGGTTTTTCGCCTTCCTCCACCCACTTAGCTCTGGATCTAATAAATGCGCCTTGTAATTTTTCTTTTCGTACTTCCTCCAATTCTTTTTGCTTTTGTCTTAAAGTCTGAATATTGGCCTCGCAAGTTATATTTTCTAAAAGTTCAATTTCCTTCTTTTCTATTTCTGACTTTTTCGTACGGAGAAACAATACTAGGACACAATGTTTACTATCAGTAACAAACTGGCGAAGAAAAAACAAAATGACAGAACGATGGATACTCCGGATTTGCAGATTGACAAGAGACAAAGACATGAATCAAATCCCTCACCGGGAAATAATGACATAGCAAAGAAACTCAGGATGGGCAGCCCACTATGCCTTGAAGACTACACAAGCGCAAACGAACATTCAGGCGAAATCAGCCCAGATGACACCTCACCATCTATAGAAGGTACGAGTAAATTTCAAACGATACTATCTACAATAGATAAACGCCTCGCGTCCATTGACAAAATTGCAGCTATGTCGGAAGCAAACCAAAGTATCCTACACGAACTATTGAATAAAGTCAGTGACCTTACTTTAAGTTTAACTTTGACGCAAAATGAAGTGGATACGCTGAAGAAGGAAAATGAACAATTAAAAGAAAGGATCAAAGTCATTGAAAATAAATCAAATATAAATACTGAGCGCCAAAAGGTTGTAGACGCGGAATTGTTAGAGATGAGAACACGCAGTATGAGAGACAATCTTTTGATATATAACGTTGAGGAAAAACAGAATGAAACGCCCACTGAAACGGAGAACGCTTTTTATAACTTTCTAGAAACTCAGCTCTCTATTCCAAACCCAAGACATTCAGTAAAGATTGACCGGATTCATAGAGTGGGACCACAGAACAAACAGGGAAAAATAAGGCCTATTATCGCCAAATTCAACCCCTACAAAGGTAGAATGCTTGTCATGAACAGCGCCTACAGGCTTAGGGGTAAGAAAAATTCAGCTGGTCTCCACTACGGCATCTCAGAACAATTTCCGCATGAAATTGAGCGACGACGCAAGGAGTTGTACCCAGTCCTGAAGAGAGCCAAGGCCGCAGGGGACAAAACCGCTAAATTGATAGTGGACAAACTCAAAGTACGAGTGAATGGGACGCAACGAATCATCAAAGATCCTAGCGAAATACCCGAAGGCGCTTCGTTTGGGTAATTACTGTGCACTTCATCTATTTCATGGTAACATTGGAGTAGTTGTGATGAGTTGCGTAATGTACACGGTGGAGATGACTTACTTTCAGAAGTAAGCCAACGTGGAAGGACATGCAACGGACCGATTAGTAACATGTTAAGTATTTCTTCGTCGGGTTTATCTATATTTTTTTTTTGTTACATGTATTATTATGCTGATGTAGCTACTGACATTTGAAGGTATATATGCCGAGCAACAGCAGGGCGTGGCTCTTCTATCCTTTGATATTTCAATGTTTTTGTGTTTTGATCTGTGTTATAGCTGATGTATGTACGAAGGAGCGAATGGTGAGTGAGTGTGATATCGATTATCAACTAACGTACCCATGTTATTTAATTCTAATAACCGGAGAATATTTATATTCTATATATACTAATGCAGTTATTAAGGTATTATCTTATCATTAACATCTGTTTACGTTATGGACAGCGAGTTGACTATTTTCACATTGAATTGCCAGGGCTATAGAGATAGAGCCAAAAGGAAAGATGTGTTTAGATATTTGAGAAACTTAAATCATAATATATACTGCATTCAAGATAGTCATTTCACGAAAGAAATGGAGAACGAAGTGAGAAATATGTGGGGCTTTGATTGTTTCTTCAGCTCTTATAAGTCAAATAGTAGGGGAGTAGGTATACTGATAAATAATAATTTTGAATTTAAACCAATTAAACAGAAACGAGACGAAAATGGAAACTACATTCTACTAGAGGCACTAATAGAAAATAGGAAAGTTCTCATCTGTTCGGTATATGGCCCTAATACATAAACCTGAATTTTTTGACTCCCTTTTTACCAATATAGAAACTTTTGAGTGTGAAAACATTATAATATGTGGAGATTTTAATCTGGTGCTAGATCCGGCCAAGGACTATCAAAACTAAAGACATGTAAATAACCCTAATGCCAGAAACAAAATTTTGGAAATGAAGGAGAGTTATAACCTCATTGATTCGTATAGACAGTTACATCCGAATATTAATAAGTATACGTGGCGACGACGAACACCCTTTCAGCAAGCTCGACTAGACTACTTTTTAACCTCAGAAAACTTGTTACGTAGCACTAAATCGTGTTATATTAAGCCCGGCTATAGGACTGATCACTCGGCTGTAGTGCTGTCACTTACCTTCCATGCGTACGTTAAGGGTAGGGGCTTCTGGAAATTCAATAATTCCTTACTGCACGATATCACATATATCGAAGCAATTAGAAGTAAAATTATAGAGGTTAAAAAACAGTACGCTGTCCCGGTATATAATTTCAAAAACTTCCAAAATATACNGCTTGAAAATTTACCGAGTCTTGTCGATGTGGTCGAACAATCGGAACAAGAAAAAAATTCTGTCCGATGATTTTGACGTATGAACTAATTGTTTGAGCCCAGAAAAATTAATTTTATAAAATAATTTTTGTGGTCGGATTGACTGGGCCCGTCGAAATGCTTGGCACATTACCGTACCGGACAGAGAAATTCATTTTACGGTAAATGATCAGCTATTTTTTGAAACCCTTTTGATGGAAATTAGGGGTAAGACAATTTCTTATGCGTCTTACCAAAAAAAGAAAAAGTCATACACAACTTCTTTCTCTGATAAAATAATTTTGATAGACTCTTGTGGATAGTGAATTTGATACATGTGTGCAATAAAATGATCTTTTATCTTATAGTTTGTTTTGACATCTTATTAGTTTAGCTGTAGACTATCAGTCTGTTTTTGTACGGACCCGCCGGAAAGTCCCCTTAATTACTCTGCGGGTCGCTGCGGGTTGTTCATATGGCCTGGCGCGGTAACCATGGAAATAACATTGTTATCCATGTGCTGTTTGGTTTCTGTTAACATCATGCCCCGTCGGGTAATTATCGTGTCTTACTTTCTGCTAACAAAAGAGCCTAACCCTAGCTCGCTGAGATAAAGATCGAAGCTGAGCGTGGTCGCAATAAAGTGTTCGTCCAAGCATTAATTGACCTTTAATGCGCGGTGGCTTCACTCTACTTTGATCACTCTACTCTGATACGGAGATTTTAAGTATAAGAACTTGGCAAGTATAAGAACTTGCCAACAATCATTTTTAAAGTGACTTTACCAAAAAGACTCGGTGATGATAGCAACGTCCATGTACATTTTTAGCTATGAATTGAGTGAATTCACATAGAGTTGAATAAATGAATTTATGAATATATGAAAGATCAAATAAAACACTACTCATACTTGTACATGTAATATTTATTAAGCTTCAAATCGTTATTGCTATATCACATACTATAAACACGACTGCACTTTATTTTTATAGAAGGTCCTGATATTTCTATTTTCTTTGTTCATGGATGGAATGCATTTTTTCTAAAAAAGACTTGTCAGTTGTTTGAGTAATAAACATTTTGTAGGCCATATCATTAATATAATTCAGTCTATATTTGCAAGCAGGATCTCTCCCATCTACACTCGTAACATTTCTGTCCTTTTGAATTTGTTCATCATTAGTAAACAATCTTCCCATTAACTGCACGCAAAAGTTGCCTGGGGAACTGTCTTTATTTGACAAGGCGAAGGGTTGCCGGCCGAAAGACTGACTCCTTGATTCTACAGCACACAAAGTAGGAAAAATTATAATTAATGTTATTTAATAATAATAATGTTATTTAAGAAATTAACCCAAATTTTGATACAGATGTTTCTCTTTTGTTCTTTGGTATTAACTCTGCACATATGGATTACAATCTCGCGGGTTAACTTCACTGTTTGGCACGTGTCATCTCACATTAATTAACAATCAGTTCAGGTTAGCTTTATTCTTGCCTGGTAAACACAGTGATTAAGCTCTGACTATTACATAATCACTAATGTCTGACACGCGTCATCTAAAATTAATGTTAACATTGCGAAGGTGCTCTTCAATCCAACCTATTCAATTTTACCTAATTATCAATCAACTGATACCTGTCAACAAGATTGTTTGTGTATCTGGACTTCCTAAATTTTAAGTATTTTGTATAATATGACATGTTTATATCACCGATTTCTGTTCCATCGTGTCACCTGCCAAGTTAACGGTATAAATCGACACTCAAATTTTCCGAATCGTCACAATTCCAAGATGCCTCTTAGTGATAATGTACGTTTGCATGTCATTGGCCTCTGAGAACAAGGGGTGTGATTTAAAAACATCACCGCCCAAATGGAAAATGAAGACCATAAAGTGTCACGACAGGCAATTAACTAAGTGTTAAAGAAATACAAGGAAGGGCTCTCTTTGCATCAGCTATTATAGAAACTTAAGTGAGGCAATTAAGAAGGAGCAGAGCGTGTTTGTTGAACCGATTAATTTGAGTGTCTGATAAGGATTACTTGCCGATTTCCCTACCCTGTAATTATCATGCAGCCTCTATTGTTCGACCATACGGGGCAGGGTTGGGAGACCATGCGGCCTTTTGGTAAGGGGACTTTCTGGCGGGACTGTAAATCCCCTCTATTGCCCCATATGCTCTGTTGGTTGACTGGGTGGAGAGGCACCCACACCCATGACACTACAGGCATGCTTCTGCGCTTGCTGCAGTCTTCCTGCTCATGTCTTACAGAATCTACATCCGCAATGAAAGTCAAGATTTGGTAACAGTAAGGCTATTATTTCATCATAATGGCAAAACTTACATCTACTGGAAATCAGGAATATTCTGGTGTACAGCATCTTTGCACAGTTCTGTAATCCTACAGTTTTTGTAGCTGTCAAGATGTGTTCTTTAGAGTCCCATTCTGCCTCTCTATACCATTGTTGATACCAGTTGGGATTGCTAGACTTTCATTGTACAATTGTACCCACTTCTTTAAAACAAAAGAACAAACTGTATAGTTTGTTCTTACATCTTATTAGTTGATGCACTGTTAAATAGATGCATACTACTGATAGACAATTTTGATATTTTATATTTAATAACATAGACTCGCCCTTCAAGAAATCGACGGGACATAGCTATTTTCAAATTTGAATGGACACAGTAGAAAAAGTATATAAGCTCAAGCTCTCAAATTTTGTAGATATAGGTGCGATATCATGTAAAGAATAAGTATTGTAAATTTCAATAAAATAGGTTGCATAGATTTTGAGATAGAATACTCTGAATGTGCTGCAAACCATAATGCTTATGCCTTCAAGATCTCGACGAAAAACCAGAAGTGCGTCGCGACATCATTCTGTGTGTTTGGGAAGTTGCTGGATGATTTTCTGGTGAGAAGGACTTCTTTTTTTATCAAAATATTAAGTAAATGACTTTGCAAACCATGCATATTGTTTTTTTCAAGTGAAAAAAGCTATTTAAGACTAAGTTGTGCTTTTTTAAATTCGATTTAATATTTTAGTGTTGTCTCATGTTTTCATATCATTTCAAGAAAGTACAAACGCTTCACGATTTCAGCTTTTAATACTGTTTGGAGCATGTGAGGTGTCATGTATGTTTGTAGAAAGTGTATTTGAAATTAATCTTAAGTAAATGTACTAAGAACGAACTCAAGACCCACAAATAGTGTCTGGTCATAATACGATTTTACTTTTCTCAAAGACCACATATGTTTGCACTACAATCATACAATATAGGCCTAATTACGTATACCGCCCCATTTTAATCAAAACGGAAAAAAAAGAAGACACACATTTTATCATTTTCAAGAAAACAGTGTGATAGAAAAACAATTACAGATGACAGAATTTACAACAGACATGAATCATCTAGCAAATGAAGGGGCACAAATTTATGTACTTTTCTCTATCTGTAATATTAATCTTCCTAACCAAACATGTACTGCAATGATAACTCTGTTCAACACATGGAATAACTTCACACAGATCTTTTTAAAACATTATGATTTGGAAAACAAATCTGCAATAAACAAATAAACAAACACAGACCACAGGAGTCCCTTTCTTCAGTAACGGCCACAGATCGGCAGACAGATCAGGGGTCAAAAAATTATTTACATTAGGCCCTACATTATAAATGGCTCTTGGAGGTAACTCTTATTGGTGCTATGAACACAATTAATAACAAGTATATGTGTGTTTGTTTTGTGTACAT